TCGGGAGCGGCCATTGCACTCCAGTCTGGGCGACAGAGTGAGACTCCAACTCAAAAAAAAAAAAAAAAAAAAAAAAAGAGGCTTCTGCTTCATACTGCTGGAAGCACTGTCACCAAACAACAGAATTAGCCTATCCTTTGCTGCTTTATAGCCTGGCATCAACTTTTCCTCCTTACTGATGTTAACTTCAGTCAGGCATCCTCTTCCAGAGCAGTCCTGTCTCATCCACATAAAAAACCTGCTCAGGTAAATACGTGATTTTTTTTCTTTTTTTGAGTTGGAGTCTCACTGTGTCACCCAGGCTGGAGTACAGGCACGCTCACAGCCACCACAGTCTCGACCTGCTGGGCTCAGGTGATCCTTCCACCTCAGTCATCCAAGTAGCTGGAACTACAGGCACACACCACCGTGCCCTTGTTTTATTTATTGTAGAGACGAGGTCTTACCAAGTTGCCCAGGCTGGTCTTGAACCCCTGAGCTCAGGCAATCCTTTTGCCTCAGCCTCTCAAAGTACTGGGATTATAGGCGTCAGCCATCATGCCTGGCCCTATGTGATTCCAACAACAATTACTTGAAGCATTTCAGGAAACTCCCAGGCAGCTACTGTATCTGTACACACTGCTTCGCCGCTTACTTTTACATTGTGAAGGTTGGCTCTAGCCTTGAACAAATGAAACCAACCACAGCTGGCATTAAAACATGTGCCCTTTGAGTCTTCTTCATGTTTCCTCTTCAAGTCTTAAAGGCTTATAGCTTTTTCTTAAACCAGCGTTAAGCTAAGTGGGACTTGACACTGATACTGAGAATTTTCTCCATCTCCTTCATCACTTTTTTTTTAATACATTAGGTAATTTGGTCATTTTAATAATATTGATTCTTTCAATCCATGAGCATGGGATGTTTTTCCATTTGTTTGTGTCCTCTGCAATTTCTTTCATCAGAGTTTTTTAGTTCTCCTTGTAAAGACCTTTCACCTTTTGGTTAAATATATTCCTAGGTATTTTAGCTTTTTTGGCAGCTATTGTAAATGGAGTTGAGTTCTTGATTTGATTCTCAGCTTGAGCATTATTGGTGTACAGCAGTGTTACTGATTTGTGTGTGTTGATTTTGTACCCTGAAATGTTACCGAATTCATTTATTAAGTCCAGCAGCCTTTTGGAGGAGGATTTAGGATTCTCTAGGTATAAGATCATCAGCATACAAGAGATAATTTGATTTCTTCTTTTTCAGTTTGGATGTCCATTATTTCTTCATCTTGCCTGATTGCTCTGGCTAGCTCTTCCATCACTTTTCCATGCTTCTTTGATATTACTGTCCACATCATCAGCACAGCAGACTTCACATGTTCTATATATTTTGCCCTTGTTCTACAGAATTGTGTCAATGGTAGAACAAATCATATAAGAACGAGTGATATCAGCTGGGCTCAGTGGCTCAGCCTGTAATTCCAGCACTTTGGGAGGCCGAGGTAAGTGGACTGCCACAGCCCGTGGGTTTGAGACCCACCCGGGCAAGTTGGCGAGACCTTGTCTCTACAATAAATCAAAAATTAGCCGGGCGTGGTAGTGCATGCCTGAAGTTCCGGCTACTTGGAAGGCTGAGGCGGAAGGATCGCTGGAGCCCAGCAGGTCGAGGCTGCGGTGGCCAGTATTCCAGTCTGGGTGACAGAGTGAGACTTCAACTTAAAAAAAAAAAAAAAAAGAACAAGTGATGTCTACCATCTTTTTGCCTCATTTCAGTCTCTCAATTTTCACTTTTGTTTCCATGATTAACACTTGTTGCTTCTTAGCAGTAACAGCTACATCATTGCTACTTTTATGCTTGCTTCTGAACATCCTGGACTTGAAATAAAGATACTGTACTACTGTATTCTACACAATACACAAAAGAACAACCACTTGTAGAGGATGCACACAATGTATGCCAGATATGTGAACTAACATGACTGGACAGGCAAACACACATTTCACATCTTTGAAAGTTTGCAACTTGAAGGTTTGTATGTAGGGGACTTACTGTATCATGTTTCTTGGTTAAACTATTTCTTCCCTATCATCCCAAATAATATCTAACATGATACTGAAAATAATAAATAATCATAAAATAACTCACAAAGGTTTAAAGAAAAAGGTAGACTGGCTGAGGAACTCGTGACTGAAGAGCTATACCACAGTTAGTATTCTCAATTTGCTTTTTATTCTGCATATTTCTTGCACCAAGTGCCATGGAAGCCAGAGACTCATCCCTTAAACCAACCCTGTAGCAGGGATAGCTAACTCCCACTCCATACCTGCAGAATCAGGGGGCCCAATTTATCACAGCAGCAGTGTCACAGTAGCATGCCCAATCTACTGCAATGGCAGTGACTAAAGGCCAATGTTTCCTGAACTCCCACCCAATAGCACTGGAGACTGAGGTGGCACCTGCAGGAACTAAACAGGAGACCCAATGGAACCAGAAGAATGAAACCAACCAGTATAACACTGCAAGAGCTCTAAAAAGTAAATGCCATTGAAACTATCACTCCCAAGAGAAGGCCTAAATCTAGATAGTAAACCTAAACAGGGAACTGCCTGCTGAGAGAGTCGAATGCCTAATCTCTTTAAAGAATCCTCTGTGAGACTGCATACTATGACCTTCTAACTAAACCTCAACAGGCAACTATGTTGAAAGAGAATCCTATGCCTAGTCTTTTTAAAGAGCCTTCCATGTGACCGAATATTGTGACTTTTTGACAAAAGTAAGTTTAATAAAATGTTAAAGGAAGACTCTAGGTGCTGAGAGTACAAGTATTCACTAAAAAATTCTTTCAACTGCTGGGTGTGGTAACTCACATCTGTAATCCCAGCACTTTGGGAGACTGAGGCAGGGGTATTGCTTGAGCCAAGCCGTTTGAAACCAGCAGACCTCTCATAAAAAAACCAGAAAATTAGCCAGGTGTGGTGGCATGTGCCTGTAGTCCCAGCTACTTGGGAGGCTGAGGCAAAAGAACCAACGGAGCTGAGAAGGGTGAGGCTGCACTGAGCATCTAACTACTAAAAATGTGAGTCAACTAGTTTATTAAAACTCCTGTGTGTTTATACAAACCTTACAGGCTGTATTACTGGAATATATGTTTGGTTCCAAACAATTCCTTAGTGATAATACCGTCTTAACACGTCTTTGAATTTTGGCTATTTTTGTCTAGAAGAAAAAAAGAAAAACAAGTAAATACTAAACCAAAGTACTAAATAATATACTATATAGATGAAGGAAAAATTATTTGCCAAAGTAGTTTTGTGAGACTTAGGCATCTACCTAAATATATGAGAAATTTTTATATAAGCAAAAGATTTATTTTATTTACTTATTTAAAAAATTTTTTTTGAGTTAGAATCTCACTTTGTCACCTAGGCTGAAGTGCAATGGCACGCTCATGGCCACTGCAGCCTTGACCTGCTGGGCCCAGGCGATCCTTCCACCTTAGCCTTCCAAGTAGCTGGAACTACAGGTATGCACCACTATACCCAGTTAATTTTTGAATTTATTGTAGAGACAAGGTCTCGCCAAGTTAATTGCCTAGTCTGGTCTTGAACCCCTGGGCTCAGGCAATCCTCTCGTCTCCACCTCCCAAAGTGCTAGGATTACAGGCATGAGCCACCATGCCTGGCTAGCAAAAGATTTAAATCACATTTTATCCTTGTATGATAATCAGGAATGGGAGATTAAAATCTCAAACTTCTAATCGGTCCACAATGAAATTAATGTTGATAGAAATACCAATCAGATTGGAAGGCTGAGGCGGAAGGATCTGAACCCAGCAGGTCGATGCTGGGGTGGCTGTGAGTGTGCCACTGCACTCCAGCATAGGCGACGAAGTGAGACTCCAATTCAAAAAAAGAAAAGAAACACCAATCAACAAGTAAAGTTAGAAGAGTAAAAAAAAAACAAAAAAGTCCAAAAAAGCTTGAAACAGGTTGTACAAGCACCAATAAAGAAACTATTTAGAATGAAAAGAAAACGCCTATGTATTAAGTCTGTCAGTTTGACACAGAATGCCTAATAGCTCTAAGAGTATTTCTAAAGGGCCAATATTGCAAAGATATAATAAATTCTATTGTCTGTGGTAAAATCTTACGGTAGGCTTGTGGGCAGGAACAAGATTTTTCCTTTCTTAATATGAAAGATCTTATGGTCCAAGTAACGCTCGGCTGCTCCCCTTGATACCAACAAATCTAAGGGGCAGGGAACTGGTAGAAAGTTTATTCTGAGTTTGAATCCAGAGGGCAGAGTCGAACTCAAAATCTTTCTAAAATAGTTCTGCTCACCCTCCAGGCTTACACAGTTCAATTTTATAAGTCCAGAGCTGTTAAGACCTATACATTAGCATGTGACCAGCAGAACATTGTATAGAACTTGAGTTTCAGCCACATTTATTGATAGTGACATTTTTCAGTTCAGACTGCCAGGTATCAGAGGTATCTCAAAGCTTTTATCAGTAGGGCCTGGCAGGAGCGTTAATCAAGCTTGCCATAAAGGGAGTTTACAAGGCCTAAGACATCATGCATTACACAGACATTATGCAAATCACAAAACTTATGATTACACTGATACAAAAGTTATACAAATCACAAGGTTTATGATTATATTGATACCATATTATTCAAACTTCTGACCACTTAGAAAAATGGAGTAAATGGAGATTTGCATTGTTCAGTTAACTGGGCGTAGACTACTGGGCAGTCAAGGATCCCCTGAAGCGACTTACTGGAAGTACACAGGAAATAAGGGGAAGTGCACCTTTTATTAGCTCTCAGGAATATTGTTCAGGAATGTACAGGAGCACTTGCGCCCTTGCCGTGTTCTTCACTAAGGACTGTGACAATATGTACAGACATTAGTGGGTCTCTGTATCAATGTCACCAAATTCTTTTAAAAAGGATTCCATGAAATCAAATGAAATTAAAACTTACGAAGAGTTCTGTAGCTATTGCTTCATGTTTATTCCTGCACTGTGTCTTCCCAATGCGTTCGTTCAGTTCTTTCAGTTTGTTATCAAATAGTTTGTAACTTATATTATAGATCTCCTGTCGAATCAAATGTTTGACCTAGAATTATAAAAACCAAAACACCCCATATTTCAAATTTAAAAGCAACTTTATTTTCTACTTTTAAAAAATAGCTTTTCTCTTTTCTGGATTTACTGTGACCAGTAAAATATACTTTATTTATATTTGTATGTTTGTATTACTATACCAGTAAGTTATATAAAACTTGAATATTAAACTCAATGGTACACACCAGATATTTAAATATACTGGACATATTAGAAATTAAATTTATTCTTATAGTGCTAATTTTAGTTTCTTATAGTTCCAGTTGACTTCCATAACAACATTATAGGAACAATTAAAAGACTATTATCTCATTTATATTTTTTAAATGACCATAGCTGAAAGTTAGTAGTCAATAAAAAACAAGTTCTACTTATCTGAACATCAGAGTCCAATGAAAATGACTTGTTGGTCTATAGTAGATATGTAACAAATATGTAACAAGTGTGAGTCTTGACACTAACATTACAAGCTTATTTGACCTTTGGGAAATTACAACGTTTCTGGGCTTCATTCTCCTTATCCACAAATAAAGAATAAATATTGAAAGAGTGATTCAAAGGGCTTTTATAAGGACATAATAAGGCAATATGTAAAAGAGCTCCATAAAATGAAAAACACTGAATAGATATGAGGGAAATAAATATGTAAGGTAATCACCATTATTTGCATAATTGTTTTAGGGGATGACTTTCTCTTGTTTGAGTCCAAGTCTCACTTTGCTGCCCAGGCTGGAGTGCAGTGGCAAACTCATGGCCACTGTAAACTTCCAGGTAGCTGGGACCATAGGTGTGCATCACCATGCCCAGATAATGTTTTGATAATTTTGCTGGGCTCAAGCAATCCTTTCACCTCCGCCTCCCAAAATGTTGGGATTGCAGGCATGAACCACAGCACTGGCCTTAGGGGGTGGCTTTTTTTTTTTTTTT